AAGCCGGTGGTGGCAGTTGGGCTCTGAGGGTTTTTCCTGAGGAGCTGTTTTGTTTGGCGTTTGTAGTTTTAAAAATAAAGTTTGTTTCTTTTGACAAGTGGCTCCTGAATTGTGCCCAGTCAGACTGCGGCAGTAGTCTCCTGAAGTGAATGCCTAGTTCATTTATTTTCATTCTTTTTTAAAAAAATATTTATATTTTAGTTGTAGTTGGACACAATACCTTTATTTTATTTATTTTTTTATGTGGTGTGAGGATTGAACCCAGGGCCTCATATGTGCTAGGCAAGTGCTCTACTGCTGAGCTATAACCCCAGCCTTATTTTCATTCTTACCTAAAACAAAAGCATTTAGTGCTATGAAGTTATAGTACAATTCTAATTTTATTTCATTAATTTTGATGTGTAACGTTTTCTATCTGGTATTATTTTTTGAGTTTTTATATCTATATCTGGAATGACTCTGACACAAAGGTATTCAGAGAAGTGTTTACTCTCTTACAAATTAACTGTCAACCTGTTTCTATTTGTTTATTATCAGATTTATCCTATTTTTACAACCAATCCATTCTTCTAAATGCTCTAAGAACTAAATAATGTGCATCCTTTGATGAAAAGTATAAAGTTGATACAAGTGCTTTTTTAAACTAACCTTGTTTCACTCAAAAAAAAAAAAAAAAGATCGAAGACTTTATAATGGCCTAAGAAAACTATAAACAATCTGTTAATGTTTTTTACCCTACTTTTCTTTTATTCACTCCTCATCAGCCACACTGGACTTCTGAACTACACTAGGCTTAGTCGGACCAGAGGACTTATTTACTTGTTATCCCTCTGCCTAAAACTTCTSCCCAAAGATAATCAGATGATTTGCTTCCTCCCTTCTTCTTCTTTTTTGTTGTTTTACTCAGTGTCTTTCCAACAACTTGGAAGTTCAGTTGCATCAGAGATTTTTATATCTTTTGGTTATGTTACATGATGTGTCCTTAGAACCTATAATCAGAACCTCATAAATACCAGGCACTCAAAAAAAATTAATGATTGAATAAAGTAATATTTAAAAGTACATGCTCTGAAGTTATAATACCTGGTTTAAAAATCTAAGCTTCTGCCTCTTACTAGTTATATCACCTTAGACAACCTCCTTCACTCCTCAGTGCTCTAGTTTCCTTCTCAGTAAAATAAAAAAATAATGCTTATAAGGTAATAGTGAAAATTAAAGCATTTAACACACAGGAAGTATCTATAAAAATAACTGTAAAATAAATGTTACCAAATTCTTTTCTAACAATTTTTACTTCATACAAATTCCAATCTATTATAACACAGTACAATAAGCCCCCCCATATAAGCAGAATCTACATCGGCATCAGCAGTTACAAAATATTCTGAAAAAAAATGTGCACCTGTACCCAACATGTATAGAGTTTTGTCTTGTCATTATTCCCTAAACAATATACTGTAACAACTATTTATACAGCATTCATGCTGAATTAGGCATTTAAAATAATCTAAAGATGATCTGAAGTATACAGGAGGATGTGCACAGGTTATATCAAACACTATACCTTTTTATGTAAGGTCCTTGAGCATACACAGATTTTGTTACTGCAGGGGAGGGGGTGTCCTGGAACTAAGCCCCTGCCAAATACTGATAGATTACTGTATTACTACTGCTCTGGGGGGAATATATGTCTTTTATAAATGTGAAAATTGTAACTTTTTGTTTTGTTTTATCCTGAAGTTCTATTTTGGTCAATACAATTTTGATTTTGTTATGTTCTTTAGCTTATATTTGCTAAGTTTACCCTTAACTATTCCTCTTTTCAATCCTTTTTGTACCAATTTATTTTATTTCTGTCTCATACAGAGCTAGCTAGACATGAAAGGTAAGGCATTCAGTGAAATGTGTTATATCAGTTCCATACTACAGAAATACTAGTAGGATTTACTCTTCAGCAACTGCCCTGTCCTTTAATAGATGCTAAGATTGGATTCTCCTAGGATATGTAGACTGTTCAATCCCTACAACCACATTTACTCTGCACACAGCACTCATTAGATTAGGCAGCACTCCTTAAGGATTTCTTTTTCTCTTTTTTAAATCAATAGAGACAGCTATACATCAATGGGGTTCCTTGTAGATGAAAATTAGGAAGAGATTACCACACTGTCTCAGTCACATACCATATATTAGTTAAGTACAGCCATACAATATGTTAATATTCTGTAAAATATTGTAAATGTTCTTTCACTACTATGGAGTTATGCCCTAATAAAGCATAAAATGAAAACATTTTAACTAAAAAATGCATTGAATACATCTAACCCACTGAACATCATAGCTAAGCACCACAATACACAGCAGAGTATTGGTTGTTGACATTACTGACAGCTTCTCTAGCTGGGAGCTACAGTTGGCTGCTTAGCATCACAAGACAGATATACAGCATATGGCTATCTAGGAAAAGGTCTAAATTCAAAATTCGAAGTCTGGTTTCTACTGAATGAATACTGCTTTCACACCAATTGTGAAGTCAAAAACCACAAAGTCCAACCATCGTATATTCTTAATGTTTTTCTATATTCTTAATGTTTTTCTTTTTCCTCTAGATTCCACTTTTACATTTTGCTAGGTAATGGAATTTACTGGAAGTTTCAGAACAATGTTAACAGTAACAATGAAAACCTTTTCTTATTTCTCTATGTATAGTTTTCCAATGCTTCCTAGCCCAAGACCAAAAAGAACACTCTTGTAGTTTGATTTACTACTCACTACAAAAAAGACAACGCATTATGGTTCAGTAAGAGATGTCTCAATAACAGGGTGTTAGAAACAACTTACAGAATTTAAGAACACACTATATAATTTATAGGAGTACTCAAGAAAATGGGGCTTTGCTCTAGAGTGGATACTACCATGTGGGACTAACTATCTTTTCAGTATCACAATAAGCCTTATTTAGGACAGAAGAAAAGAGTGAGGCTAAAGTCATATCTGATAAAAAAAAGTAGCAATCACTCATACTACTCAGGACTGGGGTATGTTTGGTATTTTTTTGTGGTTTCTGGTGACCTTACTTTTTTCTATGCTTAAACAAGTTTATGGAGTAATCTTATTTTTCATTCCACTTTGTCAAAGTCACATAATGGCTGTATCTGAATGTTAATGTTCTGTGAAATTATGTTCAAAAGGAGAATATAAAGGCCTAGCTATGAATGCCAAGTCAGTTTCCAGATGGAGGGACTGCTTTTTCTCTCTCMAGTTCTTACAGCATATTTCAAGTTAAGGATTTAAAATTTCTCCTGAAATATCCCACTGTTTTATAAAAATACATAAATCTGATGTTTTAATGGTTGGAAAGAGATACAAACCAATCTATGAATTTACTACAAACAAACAGAACAAATGCCAGCACGTACATGAAGGCAATAAAGGATATACAGAAAAGTCACAAAAACTCAATAAAGGCAATACTGGTAGTCAGGAAAAATAGAAAAAGTAGTAGAAGTGATCATCCAACTTTACGAAAAGAAAAAAGAAGTGATCAAAAGAATTTACTTTTCACATTAAAAAACTGCATTATTTTTTTCACATAAAGTGAATATACAAATGAATGTGAATTAAAAACATTTCATATTAGGATAAATCATTAAATATGAATAAGATTTAGGGATTAGATGATAGTGCTATATCCATGCTAACTTCTCAAATTATAAGACTGTATAGAGTATTGCATTCATAAGACAATATCCTTTTTAAAAAAAAAAAAAAAAAGGAAACATCCACTGAAGTATTTAAGCATAAAGGAATAGGTGCCTGTGCCTTACTCAAATAATCTAGAGGAAAAAAAATCATATGCACATCTATGTAAAAGAGGGACTTTTGGACAATCTATGTGAAGAAGATAAAGAAATTCTTTTTATATTCTTGTTACCTTTCTCTAAATCTGAAGTTTTCAGCATTAGAAGTACAAAAACAATCAGAACTCAAAAAATAAGTATGACAAATATCAGTATACCCAAGTCAAAGGTGGAGAAAGCAAAAGTCAATTATAATTAATTTAAAGAGATGAAGTTAAGTGTCTCTTTTACTCAAGCTTGTAGTCCAAATATCATAAAAGCTAATGTTTCAATACAATGTTGAATAATTAATAGATTACAACTTTCATATCTCTAAGACAAACAATGCCCTGATTTTTTATAACTTCCTCCTAAAGTATTTTCTTCCTCTCAAGGTCTGATATTATCAGCAAGTTAAAAACAATATTTTTAAAAAGACTCTTTATCATTGACAATAACTCAACAGGTCATTCTACTATTATACATCAGAGTTATCCAAGTCCACTCCAAGCCACAGATTTGCATTTGAAATGCACATCTTTATGTCAGGACATTTCAGTAAACTAATCTATGATTTTACAACTTARGTGATTATACTCATGGTACCACTAAAACATACTGTTAAATATATAGTTTACCTGAGAACTGCCACTGAAACCTGGAGGTTGGCTGTATTCTGTGGAATCAATAATACTACTGCAAAATGAAGAAAGAAAAATGTGATTTCAGTATTTACATTATTTTGGCAACAGAAAAAGTGATCTAAAATTCATCATATATAAATCCAAAATTGCTAATGTCTAAGAAAACATTTATTGCCATTATTTACCTAGACATCAAATACAAATCAATAAACATAAAATCAGCAAATAATTAAGTAATTTAACATAAACGCCAAAAATGTCAATCAAAAATAATAGCATGGAAGGTATCCATACAGATTTATATTTGTCTCTATTTCATTATCAGATAGGTTAATAAATAGTTTGGAACCTTAAGGAAAAGAGGATTTATACAGTATTGGGAAAAGAGAATAAGCATGCAACATAAAAGCTATGTTTAACAGACCATGCTATCCACTAAAAAGTTATGTGTTCCTGGACAAATTACCTTACAATCACTCATTTGAGATGAGTGGGGACTAGCTACTTCAATTTTATGTTTCCAGCCCCAAAATGTTATGACAAAGCCTAGCAGAAAAGAAAGCTATGAAATGGAGTAAATGCAAACTAGCAAAAATCTTTCGTAACCCAAAACCTATACATTAGTTTCCTCTCTCCTGGTCAAGCATAGTCCGTTTTCTACATCCATTCTTTTTATTTGGTTATATTATGTATACATTTTCCTAAAAATGTACCCTAAAAAAATCTCTAGAAGCCCACACTATCTTGTTCTTCCTCAAGTTTACCATTTCAAACTTATTATTTCTCTATTCCTATATCCCTCCCATCTTTATACAAAATGATGGTCCATAGAAACTAGCAACAATTAAAAATTATCTACACATATACAATAATGATAAACTGATATTTATATTTTTGATATTATTATTTTTACAATAAACATTTATTTTCTTGTCTACCCTAACAAAATATAACCAATTGAAGATACTAATTTAAATGTCTCCACAAAAATGCTCAAAATCACTTAAGTACAGAAATAATTACTTAAGTACAGAAATAATCTCAAAGGTGCAACTTTGAGAGGTACTTTTGAGGAATGCAGAGTTTCAGTGTCACTCCTTTGTGGCTAATAATCTGACTCTAAGTTATAAATCATTTTTTAAAATTTTTATTTTTTAAGTTATTAATCTTATTTCACCATTAGTTTCTCTATCATTCATTCATTCACTCATTTTCAGTACTAGGAATGGAACCAAGGCCTTTATTTTGAGACAGAGTCTTCCTAACTTGCTCATCTGATCTAGAATTCCCAATTGTGCCTTAGCCTCCTCAATAGATTACAGGCATTCAACACTATGCCATGCTATTTCACTGATTAAATGACAAATATATGTCAAAAATTTACAATATTTAAATGAGATTATGTATGTAGATTTCTCAGAACAATGCTAGAACTTTAGCTTATATTAACAAAAACACAAAACCTCACCATTCCAAAAATATGATAAATCATATAAAACAGTCTTCACAGTAGTCAAGCAGCATATGTTATTATATAGGTCTTAATTAATTGTGTTCTTAACTATTCCTAGAATAAAATTCAACTATCCAAGAAAAAGCCTTTACACTATCAAGAATTTATGCACACTTGTGTTGAATTTCTTTTCAAGAAAGAAGGGAAAAAAAGGGAGAGGAGGAAAAAGAGGAAGAGACAGGGCTGGGGTTGTGGCTCAGTGGTAGAGCACTTGCACAGCATTGTGCGAGGCACTGAGTTTGATCCTTGGCATCACATAAAAATGAATAAATAAAATAAAGGATAAAAAAAGTGTATACACCACATTAGCTAATTAAATCATAAAGATGATTTTTTAAATTGATAAGCAAAATAAAGTACATTGAGGCTGAACATTAACATTATAAATATGGGATTTTTAAATTAATAACGGCATTAAATAAACCAAAAAATGCCAAGTATATAAAAGAAATTAAGACTTGGAATTTGTTTTTTTACTATAAATCTAAGAAAGAGAAAAAATAAACTTCTATACTTAATAAACCATATGGGACTATAGAAAAGTTCTGTTCTGTTCCAACACTCTTCATTTAAATTATTGAACTAGATTCAAATTAGTGGTCTCATTTACTAATAACTAAAATTAGTGTAGACTCAATTTTGTAGATACCTCCACAGATATGAAAAATGAGCATTCATGTTCATTTCCTCCTTCTTTATTCCACATACCCTTTAACAATTAACACAAAGTCAAACAAATCACCCAAAATCATTGTGACTAATCTATCAACTGTTAACAATAATAGCAGCAGCAGCCCCTCAGTTTTTGCTATGTGCCAGACATTATTCTCATTTCTTCAAATATATTAGCACAATTTATCAATCAACTCAAGTACTACTATCCTTTCTAAACTGAAGTTCACAGAAATTAACAAACTTTATGAAGGTCAAATAGGCAAGAACTTGTGGAAATAAAATTCAAACCCAAACTTCATGCATATTTTATTTAATTCCAGAATCCTTATACTAAAATTGCCAGGGTGACCTTTGTCTTCCTTCTTAACAATTCAAATGGGAGTTTCTATTATTTATCTTCTTCTCAACTCTGGAATGACTTCCACAATCCACTCATTCACCAAGGCTTTAGAAGCTTTAAGAAAGGATGCCTGAATTAGAAAATCAGTTATATCACTGGGTAGTGGGCAAATTAATTCATCTCTTTTGAGTCTTCCAATGTATAAAATTAAAAATAATAAAACTTATCACACAGAATTTGTTATGAGTATTATATGAAACAAAGCACGTAAATTACAGACCAGTACAAAATAGACAGCTACAATATTACTCCAACTGTTGCAGCTTTTGTCAATAGAGTTCTCTTCTAGAACAGTATTTCTAGTAAAGACTTCTGATTTTGATGCAAGATGTTTTGGAACTGCAGCAAAGAATTTTCCCTAGTAATCTCCTGTCCTCTCTTAATTAATTCATGGTTAGGAAGAGTTGCAGTTACCTAATGCATAAGGGAACTATGAAAGTTAATATCTGTACTGCCTTTCAAAATGTTTGTTATTCTACAATCATCTTGCAGTTACAATGAAAAACAAAAGGGCAACTATTTTAAAATTTTCTTGTAAGAAATTCTCCTTAGGGAGAAATTTAGTACTCAAAAATATAAAAGGCAAATAGATGGTAATTTTCTGAAAGATAAAATTGCTCTGAGTTTATTGCTTTACTGCCTTTTTAAGTAAACAATTTTGCTTCATATAAGTTCAAAAGCAAAAAATAAGGCTCACCAGATTCATCTACCTCCAAAGAAATTAGTGAAAAGTTTGTTACAAAAATGCTGTATTTGACTAATTTATATACTATCATTACCTCCCAATGAGTTGGAATAGATTATAATTTATTTGCAATTCCCAGAGAAATTTTTAATTAGCAGGTGATACAGTTGCTACAGCTTTTAGAATTATTAAAAATGTCCATTATCTGAAATAACCTCAGAAAAAGGTATTAAAAGTAAAGAAGTTAGAGAAAGTATTCCAAAACAATAAGAAAAGACTCAAAGGTTGGGGGATCAGAAGAATGGGGAAAATATGGTAGGAACTGGGTAGGGAAGAGACAGTAAATTGCAGAAATGGAAAATGGTGACAGCAGGTGAAATTTTATGTTTGTATACAGTTGTCTTTATATCTAAACCAATTTTACTATGTATAGTTTTAGTTTCCCTAGCCGTTCCCATTCCTAACATCTCAGGATCAAGATATAATAATCAAAGGCCTGAGAGTTTCTTATGACTCTAATCTGAAAAGGCCAAAAGTCAAAGAACAAGATCTAATCACAGTATAGGAGTGAGTTGAATCCTACAGGAAACAATTGTAAATACATAGAATTTGGTTGCCTTGAAGAGACTAACCTCCAGAAATTTGAGTTATTTTAATGACATTATGAAGGAATGTGTAAACACAAAAAGAAAAAAATAGAAATCTTTATCCCATCCTTTAAAAATTATMAAACATACTGAAGAGATTTATAAAACTTTATTGTTGAATATGTGAGGTTTTATAAAAAGGAAAATAAGCATGTGATTTAGAGACTTAAAACATGTCAACAATACAGGCATATTCAGAATCAACTAAAACAATTTTTCCATATTTTCTGAAGTATTATCTATACCCACACCCCCAAGCCTGCATTTGAATCTGTAGGATCCATCTCAATTAATATTTGGTAATAAGGTTAAAAAATCTGCATTTCAAACAAAGGTCTTCCTTGACACTAAAAGACACTGGAATTTGGACTCTTTAGGACCCCATTTTCCAAAATTTAAATGAACTATTACCCTCTACCTCAAGCAGTGACAATTACAGTTTACAACAAGAACCCAAAGGGCTGTTATCAAAATCCTGAAATGCCTGTAAATCAATAGAATTAAATGCATTTTGATGGATGCTCATACTATTAAAAGTCCACATTATACCATATTTAAAACAGAATATTCTATTAACCATCATACCTTATTTTCAATCCTAAGACTATGTGTGTAATCATGGAGTAGAGTAGGATCTTCCATATTCAAACTACATATTGGAATCTAACAGTGTTTATATATACTTGATACGCCCCAAATACTGGCTGCCTGACTGTAAATAAGTTCTTCAAATATTCTAAATAAAGAAAATTATACTGTTTCAAGGTTTACATAGCTTGTTGTATTTCTATGACCTAGAAATTTTACTAAGAAATTACAGATATGCAAAGAATACCCTCCTATCATTATCTGGAAAGTTTCTTCTCTTTGTATTTTTGTTATAGTTTATTTAAAATGCATTGCATTTAAGCTTAACTTACGTTAAGTTTAACTCCTTAGCAAGGTATAAAGTCATAGTAAGACAGAGTCATATAAAATGCAACAATCAACTGGTTGTACTACTCAAAACATGTAATACTCAAACATCACAGGTACACTTCATTAAAATACTGCAAAACACAACTGATGTTCAAAAGTCCCCCAGGCAAGTGTAGCTGAGGTGTCTTAAAATATGTAATCATCTAACTCTAAC